TGTGGTTTGCGGTTCTGGCGGCAGGTGTTTCAGGGGAAGGCGCCTGCCGTCCAGCGCACAGAAGGCAGGGGGGTGAGGTGTGTGAGCGGGCGAGGCGGGAGTGATCCATTCCCCGTCTTGCTCTCCCCCCGCCCCCCTTCAGGTCTCACCCCACCATCCTGGACATTCCTAACCAGCTCTACTACGACCGGGAGCTGCAGCCCTGCGCCAACCCCGTGGAGCGGGAGCGCTTCTGCCAGTGGGAGGGCCTGCCCCGCCAGGTGAGGGCCCCGCGGGCCCCCGGGAAGGGGAAGGGCGGAGGAGGCGGCTCAGCCGAAGCCACGGTCTGTCCCTGCGTCACTGTGGCCTGGGGGCCCGGGGCCTGGAAGGGTATGGGGTGAGGGGCACGGAGGGCCGGAGGGCCCGGCTGAGGGTCTCCCCTGGCTGTGGGTTTGAGGGGAGGGGCACGGAGGGCGAGGAGGGCCCAGCTGAGGGTCTCCCCTGGCTGTGGGTTTGGGGTGAGAGGCACGGAGGGCGAGGAGGGCCCAGCTGAGGGTCTCCCCTGGCTGTGGGTTTGGGGTGAGAGGCACGGAGGGCCCGGCTGAGGGTCTCCCCTGACGGTGTCCAGGGCTTCCCCATCATCTTCCATGGCGTCATGGGCAAGGATGAGCGTGAGGGCAACAGCCCCTCCTTCTTCAACCCCGAGGAGGCCGCCACGGTGACCTCCTACCTGAAGCAGCTGCTGGGCTCCTCCTCCAAGAAGGGCAGAGGCCGCCTGAGCCCCCGGCAGGTGGGCGTCATCTCCCCGTACCGGAAGCAGGTGAGGCCTCCCTCGGGGTGAGGCACCCCCCGGGCACCCCGGTCCGGGGGCTCGGGCCCCGCTCGCCGGTATCTGGGGAGCTCAGAGGTCGGGGGCCCCTCCCCGGGCGCCTTCCCGCTCCCTGGCCTCCTGCCCGGACTCCCTCCCGCCCGGGGTGACGGGTGAGAGAACGGGCCCGTCCCCTCTTCCAGGTGGAAAAGATCCGCGACTGCATCACCAGGCTGGACAAGCAGCTGCGGGGCCTGGACGACATCAAGGACCTGAAGGTGAGCCGCCCCGTTTCACATCCGCTCTGTCTGCGCCCCTCTCCCCCGGCTCCCAGCGCCCCCCAGGCCCCTGCCCCCGCCACCCCCCACCCCGCGCCCCCAGGCCCCTGTCCCCGCCACCCCCCACCCCTGCTCCCAGCGCCCCCCAGACCCCTGCCCCCGCCACCCCCCACCCCTGCTCCCAGCGCCCCCCAGACCCCTGCCCCCGCCCCCCTCCCCCCCGGCTCCCAGCGCCCCCCAGGCCCCTGCCCCCGCCACCCCCACCCCTGCTCCCAGCGCCCCCCAGACCCCTGCCCCCCGCCACCCCCCACCCCCGCTCCCAGAGCCCCCAGACCCCTGCCCCCCGCCCCCCCCCCCCCCTGCTCCCAGCGCCCCCCAGGCCCCTGCCCCCGCCACCCCCCACCCCTGCTCCCAGCGCCCCCCAGGTCCCTGCCCCCCGCCACCCCCCACCCCTGCCCCCAGCGCCCCCCAGACCCCTGCCCCCGCCCCCCTCCCAACGCCAGCAGGGTCTCCCCGGCGCTCACTTTGAACGGCCGGGCCCGCAGTGCGGTCCGGGGTGCAGCCAGGACGCCGGCACGTCTCGCAGACAGCCCTCGCCGTGCTTATGGCCGGGCTGGCTGGAGGCCTCTGCTCTGGGAATAAAGTCCAGGCTCCCCGCCTGCCTGGCCCGTCCTGAGACAGCGCCCGCCGCCCTCCCCTCCCCCCCACTCTCTCCCAGCCACGTTCCTCGGCGCTGGCAGCCGATAAGAATCACCTGGAGAGCTTTGGCACTGCCTGTGCCAGGCCCCACCCGGCCCATTAGCACAGCCATCTGGGGGCAGAGCCAGGGCAGCCGGCCGGCTTCCAGCGCCGCAGGTGATCGCGTGGGCAGCCAGGGGCCAGCCCGTAAGACGCGGAGTCCCGGCCGGGCCAGGGTGGGTCGGTCGGTTGGTTGGGCATCGTCCCAGGAGGTCATCAGTTCAATTCCCGGTCGGGGCACCCGCCCAGGTTGCTGGCTCCGTCCCCAGGAGGAAGTATGCGGCAGGCAGCCCGTCCGTGTGTCTGTCTCCTCTCCCTCTCTTCCTTCTGCTCTCCTTTAAGTCAACAAAAAACATGTTTTAAAAAGTATGCAGACGTTCTCTCTTGGAACGTCTGATTCAGGAGGTCTGGGTTGTGTGCTTTTTTTTTAAACCAGAACTTAGTGATTATCTTCGGGAGAGTTTGAAAAACACTGCTGAGTGACCATGTTTTCTTTTTCCTTGTTTGAATCCTCACCCAAGGATGTTTTTTTCCATTGTTTGTTTTTTTTTAATATATATATATTTTATTGATTTTTTCACAGAGAGGAAGGGAGAGGGATAGAGAATTAGAAACATCGATGAGAGAGAAACATCAATCAACTGCCTCCTGCACACCCCCTACTGGGGATGTGCCCGCAACCAAGGTACATGCCCTTGACTGGAATCGAACCTGGGACCCTGGAGTCCGCAGGCTGATGCTCTATCCACTGAGCCACACCGGTCAGGGCTCCGTTGATTTTTAGAGAGTGGAAGGGGACAGGGACACACCGATGTGCCTATGTGAGAGAGAGACACATCGATGGGTTGTCTCCCACATGCACCCCGAGCAGACCCAGGGATCGAACCTGCGATCCTTTGGTGTGAGGACCCGCGCTCTAACCACTGAGCAACACGGGCCAGGGCCCATGGTTTCTTCCCTCGGAACCCTCTCCATCCCCTATCCCTTTCGCCGGAGCCGCTTCCAGGGCGCCCTCCGGTCCTTCCCCCCGCCCCTGTGAGGGCACTCGCTCTCTCCCTGGGACTCAGGCCGCCCTCCCCTGCAGGTGGGCTCCGTGGAGGAGTTCCAGGGCCAGGAGCGCAGCGTCATCATCATCTCGACCGTGCGGAGCAGCCAGAGCTTCGTGCAGCTGGACCTGGACTTCAACCTGGGCTTCCTCAAGAACCCCAAGGTCTGGGGGCGGCCGGGGGGCGGGCATTCTTCCCGCTTCAGGGGCCCTTCCCTCCCTCCCTCCCTCCCTCCGTGACGCCAGCCCCGCTTTCTTCCAGAGGTTCAACGTGGCCGTGACCCGGGCCAAGGCCCTGCTCATCGTGGTGGGCAACCCGCTGCTCCTGAGCCACGACTCCGACTGGAAGGCGTGAGCGTCCCCAGCCTCCCCCCCACGCCCCGCCCCACCCCCAACAAAAGGGCAGCTGGCTCTTTATCCCGGGGTGACCAGGCGTCCGCTTTTGGCGGGACAGTCCCGGTTTTTAACAATGTGTCCAGCGGCGTTTTTAAAAAAAGTCCCAATTTTTGGAAACTTTTTTAAAAGGCCGAGGGACACATTGTTAAAAATCGGGACGTCTGCCGAAACCTGTTTGGCTCAGTGGATAGAGCGTCGGCCTGTGGACCGAAGGGTCCCGGGTTCGATTCCAGTCAAGGGCATGTACCTGGGTTGTGGGCACGTCCCCAGTAGGGGGTGTGCAGGTGGCAGGCAGCTGATCGATGTTTCTCTCTCATCGATGTTTCTAGCTCTCTATCCCTCTCTCTTCCTCTCTGTAAAAAATCGATAAAATATTTAACAACAACAACAAAATTGGGACGTCTGCTCACCTTACTTTATTTTTTATTTTATTCTTTTAATAAATTGTATTGATTTTTTTTTTTACAGAGAGGAAGAGAGAGGGATAGAGAGAAACATCGTGAGAATCATCGATCAGCTGCCTCCTGCACACCCCCCACTGGGGTGCACCCACAACCCAGGTGCATGCCCTTGACCGGAATCGAACCAGGGACCTTTCAGTCCGCAGGCCGACGCTCTATCCACTGAGCTAAGTCCGTGCTGGCTGGTCACCTTACTGTATAACCACCTGCTGTGGCTCAGCTCACCCAGACCTGTCCACCTCGCGGCGCCCCCGTCTGTTACCTGCCCCTCCCTCGGAGGTTAAGCGTCTTGTCCAGAGGCCCCGGCGGGTGCTCCTCGGCCAGGCACACGTGTGTGAGGGTCCCTGTCCCCCCAGATTCCTGGACTTCTGCAGAGACAATGGGGGCTACACCGGGTGCCCCTTCCCTTCCAAAGTGGACCCGCAGCACGAACAGGATTTAATCAAAGGTCTGAGCAAGCTCAGCTTCTCTACCTCAGGTACGGCTGGGCCGGGGCGGGCTGGTGCCGGCTGGGGCCGCCAAGGTCAGGAAGACAGCTCAGCTCGCCTCCTCTCTCCCCAGGGCCCCAAAGTCACGACTACCTCTCCCAGGACCTGGAGGGTGAGGCCGACCTGCCCCTGCAGGTGGAGCCGGAGTGGAGGAACGACCTCTGACGAGACGCAGCCGGCCCGGCCCTCGGCCTCCGCACACCGGCCAAGCCTTAAGCACCCAGCTGCCCTGCCCCAGCCCGAACCCAAACCCAGCTGATCTGCCTCCCGGAGGGACAGGAAGGCTGGGGGAGGGAGTTTACAACCCCAGCCCTTCCCCCGCTCCCCTGCAGGGACGAATGATACAAGCTGCTAACAATGTGGGTTTGGGGGGGGTGAGAAGAACTGAAAACAAAGTCTGGTTCTATGCAAACGCCTCCATGTCGTCTTCTTGGCCTGGTCCCCGCTTCCCAAACCCCCAAGCTGACCCCACGGAAGATGGGATGCCACCCAAAGCCGCACCACCCCGCCTTTGAGCAGAACCCAGCCCCCACCCACGGCCGGGGGAGGAAACCCAGTGGGCCGCGGCAGGGAAGCCACCCGCAGGCTTCTAAGTTTAGCCTCCGCTCCAGACCACGCCCCGCCCCCGCCCCGAGGCCCGGAGCCAGGCATGACCTCATCCGGGCTCCTAGACCCCACCCTGCCGGCCGGCCTGCCGGAGCCCCGCCTGTGCGAACAGGCCGGCCTAGTGAGCGGCCGGGGAAAGGGGAGAGACGGGGCTAGGCCAGCACCTCGGGGACCAGAAGAGAGAGACAGGAAGCTGCGGCGTACACCTTGAAGCCTGTGGCCCTTTTATTCTTCGTGCGCCCCAGCAGGTAGGGCCAGAGACGGGGCATCTGCCTAAAGCAGAAATACCAGGGCCCAGGCCTCTGGGTTACATCCTCCGAACCCCCTTCCCCAGACACGTGAGCCGCGAGTGTGTAAAGTGCTGGTGTGACAATCCTCGGTGCAAGGCCAAGGCCAAAGGGACCCGGAGCCCCACCCTGCGCCCAGGCAGCCGCAGAACTCTGCTCCCGGCGCGGGCGGGCGGGCGGGGCACAGCCCGGCTCCCAGTGCCCTGAGGGAGGGCCGGTGGGCCTGGCACTGCCGAGGCCACCACCGCTGGGGCTGGGGCTGGGGCCGGGGGAGACCGATGCAGTCCTGGGCTGGAGGGAGCCGGAAGAGGGGGCCTTCGGCACGGAGCCCCAGGAGGAGGGAGGGTTTGGGGGTGTCCCTGCGCCCCTGGGAAGGGCCTCGGGGGGCTCAGAGGATGGGGCAGCCCCTCCGCCGCTTGTTCTTGCGGACCTGGAGGCCGGCCCGGGTGGCCATCTCGAACACCTCCCGCACCCCCTCCTTGGTCTTGGCGGAGCACTCCAGGTAGCCGAAGGCGCTGATCCTATTGGCCATGTCCCGGCCTTCCTCCGACCGCACGGGCTCCTGGGAGGACGGGAGGCGAGAAGTCAGGAGAAGCGGGTGGCAGGTGCCTCTCCCTGCCACGCCCATTCGGGTACTAACGAGAAACACCTCCAGCCCTAACCCGCCCAGCACCCACGCCCAGCACCCTGGGCGGCAGCGGCAGGACCAGCAACCACGATGCAAGTTTTTTGTTAAAATTCTCTCCACCGCCTTAGACCCGCCCTAAACCCCTCCCTCCGTTACCTGAGTAGGTACCTGGCCCCTCCGAACGGGCCTCCCTGCCTCCCTCCTCTCTCACGACCTCCGCCGGGCGGCTGCCAGAGGAACAAACGTTCCTGACACGGACCTGACCACACCTGCCCCGTGTAAAACCCTGGCGCGATTACCCTCAGGGTAGTCCATGCTCCTCACTCCGGCAGCTTTCTCTGATTAGTGAATCCTGGCTGCAGGACCACTGACCAGGCCCCCTGATGGGCCAGCTCCCTCCCTCTGGGCCTCTCGGCAATTATAACGGGTTTATTTTCTTGTCCCTCTCAACAGCCCAACCACAGACGCAAAAACCAAGATGCCCAGTGACCGTGGACAAGGCACTTCGTTCTGAGGGCCACCCCTCGCCCTCCCTCACGGGCGGGAGGCAGGTGCCACCCCCCCCCCCCCCCCCGGACAGGGCAGGGCTCGCCCCGGGCCCACCTGCTTCATCTTGGCCAGCTCCCTGCGCGTGTGCTCGTCCTGCCGCAGGTCCTTCTTGTTGCCCACGAGGATGATGGGCACGTTGGGGCAGAAGTGCTTCACCTCCGGAGTCCACTTCTCAGGAATGTTCTCTGCACAGGCAAGACCCGGCAGGTGTTGGTGCCTCCACTCAGACCAGGGAGCCCCCGCCCCCCTGCAGCCCCTGGCCTCCCCCCAGCAGAGTCTCAGAGGGTGTTCAGCCTGACAGCCCCTTTTACAGCTCCAAACCTCTCCCGGGAGCCCCCCGAAGGGCCGGCGTGCCCCCGGGGAAGGAAGCAGACGGTCCTCTGCGCCCCTCCCCGCCCCCGAGGACAGAATGAGCCACAGCGAGAGCACGACCTTGGCTGGGTGATTCCAAAGGGTTCCGGCCCCCGCCCGCCCCCCGGGCCCTCACCCAGGCTGTCCGGGCTGTCGATGGAGAAGCACATGAGGATGACGTCAGTGTCCGGGTAGGAGAGCGGCCGGAGGCGGTCGTAGTCTTCCTGCCCGGCCGTGTCCCACAGGGCCAGCTCCACCTGACACACAGGGCCGTGAGCAGCCGGCCCGCCCGAGGGCCCCGGCCACCCACAGGGCCTCCCGGAAGCCACCGGCCCCCGAGGCTCCAGGCCGCCCACCGAGCACCTGCCGCCCAGCCACGGGCCAGGCAGAGCGCGCTCCCTGTCACCCACCCCCGAGCAGATGTTTGTTTTTAAACCCCGAGACTCCAGCGCTTCCTCTCTGCGCCGCTTAGGAGCCGCCACGGTGAGCGCCAGGGTTCCTGAGTCCCCACCACGACCCTGTGAAGGAGGCCTCGTCGTCGTCACCCCCGTTCTGCCCATGGGGGAGCTCGGAGCTCGGAGGTGGAGGGGGCCGGGAGGTGCGTCTGGGTGTCCTGGCCGCGCCATCACCGCCCGGCTGTCACCGGAGCCAGCGGGGCGGGCGGCGAGGCCCCGGTGGGTGGCGGTGGTGGTGGCGGTGGCGGTGGAGGGCCTGCTGGGCGGGGCCCCAGGGCCGCGGGGAAGGGGCGCCCCTCACCTGCTTGCCGTCCACCTCGATGTCCGCGATGTAGTTCTCGAAGACGGTGGGCACGTAGACCTCTGGGAACTGGTCCTTGCTGAAGACGATGAGGAGGCAGGTCTTCCCACAGGCCCCGTCGCCCACGATCACCAGCTTCTTGCGGATGGCGGCCATGGCTGGGGCTGGCGGGGGGGAGAGAGGCCCAGTGAGTCCAAACGCACTTCTCCCGGCCCCCCAAGCCCTCCCCGGGAGCCGAGGCGTCCAGCAAGAGGGGGGCACGGGGCTCGCTCAGGCCTGTTCTTGCCCAGAACCAACTGGTCGGGCAACGGGGCTGGAAATTCCTTATCTCGGGGTCAGGTCTCCCCCCCACCCCACCCCCATGGGTTAGAACACAGCAGTGGGAGGGGGAAGACCCAGCCAGCGGGAGCCAGCCAGCCTGAGTTCTGACCGAGCCCCCTCACCCACCGGGGCCCCCGGACACCTGAGGGGATGCTCCAGGTCATGTCCAAAGAGCCAGCCCTCACCTGTCCCCGGGGCTCTGATCCGATCTGGGACACGCTGTCCCTCACCCAGCTCAGCCATGCCCACCCGGTCACCAACAGCGCGGCTCCTCTCCCAGGGCCTGGGCCGGGAGGACAGGCAGGCGGCCAGGCGGTGGGTGGGGAGGGGAAATTGGGGGGAGGGGGGATTGTTGTGACCAAAGTCATCTCCCTCGGTCCCCAGCCGCCTGGCAGGGAGGTGGAGATGGTCCTGGGAAGGGAGGCTCACGCACGCACTCGGCAGTCACAGGGACGGGGCCCTGGGCGGGGCTGTGGGACTCCATGGAGCCTACGTGCCGCCCCGAGGAGGTGGGACGGGGCAGAGGGAGGGGCACCGGACGGCCCACCCGGTCCCGGTCCCCACAGCCCCGTCACACAAAGGAGCCTCAGTCCCCGCGGTGCCCACAGCCCCCTCCCCCTCCTCCGGGCCTGGCAGCCCGCTGGGTCACTCGGCCTCAGGCGGGGGACAATGACCGCACTGTGGCGGGCGGGAGCCGCACATCGGAGAGGGAGAGGGAGCGGAGAGGGATCCCCCGGGGAGGCCCCTGCCTCCCCTCCGTCCGTCCAGCCAGTTCGCCCCGGGCCCTGCCCACCCCTCCCTGTGACTCAGGGCAGGAGTCAGCTTCCTGGGGTTTCCATGCCCCCCGCCCCCCCACGCCCCAGCACACACCAGCGGGCATCAGTTCGGCACACCTTCCCGGCGTCCCGGCCCCTGAGCTGAGCCTCCCTCCCTGCCCCCCCCCCCCCAGGGGAGAGGGGCTGGCCCTCCCAGGCCCAGAGGAAGAGGGAGGCCGGGCTGCTAGGCCTGGGGCTGGGAGGAGCGCCCAGCGCGGAGACAAATGAGGGCCAGGCCCAGCCAGCAGCAAACAGGCAGCGAGTCGCTCAGGGAGAGGGAGATGGTAACCCGATCTCGGCCCCAAACCTGGCTTTTTCTCTTTGTCCCACATCCTGTCAAACTGGGCTGAACTCCTTCTCTCCCCACACACCGCCGCCTCGCACCCCTGCCCTGGTCTGCCTGTAGGAAGCCTCTCGCCCCAGCCTGTCTGCCTGTAGGAAGCCTCTCGCCCCGGCCTGACTGCCTGTAGGAAGCGGATACTCCAGCCCCAGGCTCCGGGGTGGCCTCCCCTTCGCACACGAACTGGGATGAGGGAAGCAGAGAGAGAGAGAGAGAGAGAGGTTCTAGTTGCCCGTACACAGCCACACTCTCTCCGCCTGGAAGGGGGCTCTGTCCCTGATGCCCCAAAAGACAGGAAGAGGGCAGACCTCCAAGCACGGTAAGCCACTCTCTGGTGGCCAGCCCTCCCCCGAGGCCCACGGTCAGCGGTGTGGACACAGGCCGGGGAGCAGCCGGACGTGGATGCAGGGCCATCACCAGCGGCTTAGGCTCGGGGTACCCGTGCCCGCCCTCGGCAGGGCAGTCTGGGTGGCACGGGCAGCGGGACCAGGGCCTACACCCCGAGGCTGGAGCCCCTGCCCGAAGGCTGTGCTGGGCCAGGGGAGCGGCCGGCCGGCCGGCTCTTAGCGGACCAAGGCCAGCAGCCCAGACCCGGCCGCACAGACAGATGGGGGCCGGGGCGGGGGGGGGGGCAGGAATGGGGCCTGGAGCTCCTGGGCCTCCCCCGAGGGAAGGCAGACACCCACGGCCTCACTCTCCGTTCCCAGAGGCCTGGGGCCCCGGGCGCCGTGTCCTGCCAACGCCCGGAGGTCTGGCCTGGGCCTGGGCGGGATCCGGTATCCAGATCCTCAACTTTACAACCGGAACTCGGTGGAGGGTCTCCCAGCCCAGACCAAGTGGGGGACGGGGAGGGGGAGGGTGGGAAGAAAGGAGATCCTGACACACACAGACACACACAGACACACACAGACACACTCACAGACACACACACACTCACAGACACGCAGACACACTCACACACACAGACACACACACACACAGACACACACACACTCACAGACACACACACACTCACAGACACACACACACACAGACACACACACACAGACACACAGAGACATACATACAGACATGCAGACACACACACACACAGACACACATATAGACACAGACACAAACACAGAGACACACACTCACACACACAAAGGAGCTGGGTCCCTCCCACCCCGGCCGGGCGGCTCCAGGACCGTCCAGGGCGGCGTCCAGCCCGCAGGGCAGCGGCAGCCTCGCAGGTCACCCCTTCCCCTCCCCGCCATCCCGGCCCGCCTGGGGGACCCCCTTCCCTCCCCGCCATCCCGGCCCGCCTGGGGGACCCCCTTCCCCGCCTCGGCCCGGCCCCGCACCCGCACCCGCGCCCCACCCCGCTCGGGCCTCCCGGCGCCCGGGCTCCCGGCCTCTCCCGGGACCAAGTTCTCCGCCCGCCGGCGGCAGGTCCGGGCTGGACGGAGGGGAGGCTCCGCTCGGCCCCGGGAGGGGCCCCGGCCGCACCTGGGGAGGGGACCCCGCGCGGCCAGACGCCGGTCCGGAGGGCGGGAAGGCGGACGGGGTGCTCTCCCTGGAGCCCCGCACCCCAGCCCGGGCCCCCGCACCCCAGCCCGGGCCCCCGCACCCCAGCCCGGCCCCCCGCACCCCAGCCCCGTACCCCGCACCCCAGCCCGGGCCCCCGCACCCCAGCCCGGCCCCCCGCACCCCAGTCCGGGCCCCCGCACCCCAGCCCGGGCCCCCGCACCCCAGCCCGGCCCCCCGCACCCCAGCCCCGTACCCCGCACCCCAGCCCGGGCCCCCGCACCCCAGCCCGGGCCCCCGCACCGCAGCCCGGCCCCCCGCACCGCAGCCCGGGCCCCCGCACCGCAGCCCGGGCCCCCGCACTCCAGCCCGGGCCCCCGCACCCCAGCCCGGACCCCGCACCCCAGCCCGGGGCCCGGTACCTTCCGCTCGGCCGCCTCCAGCTGCGCGGCCGGTGCCCGAGGCAGAGACTGACCCAGGGCCGCGCCCCGCCCTCCGCCCCCGGGAGGGGCGGGAGGGGAGGAGGGGAGGAGGGGAGGAGGGGAGGGGAGAAGGGGAGGAGGGGAGGAGGGTGGGGACGGCTGGGGAGAGGAGAGGAGGGAAGGGGCGGGGAGGGGGCGGGCCGGGCCGGGCCCCGCCTGTCCGATCCGGGCCTGGGCCCCCGCGGCCGGGGTCCGAGGAGCTGCGAGGGCTGGAGGCGCGGGCGGCGCGCGGGCGGCCCTCCCCCCGGACCCCGGACCCCGGCCTCGCTGCCCCGCTGCCCCGCTGCCCCGCTGCCCGGCCCCGGGCGCCCGGCGTCGGGGAAGTTGCCCGGCGCCCGGGCGCGGTCGGTCGGAGAGGCCGCTGCTGCCCCCGCGTGGCCGCACTGCCGGGGGCCCGCGGGAGGGTCTGTGCAGCCCAGGGTCACCCCCACCCCAGTCCTGAGAACTTTCCAGAATCTTTGAGACCGGGCCAGCGGCCCGCTTCACGATTTTCTTCCTTCTCCCTCGCCTGGACTTCGCAGGAGTCCAACTCCTCCCGCCCCCCCTCCCCCCCCCCCCCTCCACCCCCTCTCCCCCCCCTCTCCCTACCTACCTCCCTATCCTCCTAGCTCCCTCCCTACCTACCTATCTACCCTCCCATCCGAAGAGCGTGATTCCGGTGCCGCCAGGGCTGAGTGAACGCGTTGGGAATCTACCTTCACGTGTGTGTCCTTCCCCGACAGATGGCTGAGGGGCTGAGGAGGTGGGCGGAAGGTGAGGACATGTCGTTAGCGTGCACTGGGCGCACTGCATAGCCCCGCGCTCCTACTGCGCACCGTAGGCCTTTGGGTAAGTGTACCCAGGCCCTTCGCCTTCGAGAAACTGAGGCTCAGAGAAGCCTAGTGGTTTGCCTCGACTTTGGCCATTTCTATGTGATTCAGCAAGAATTCAGACACTGGGTCAGTGCGGCTCCCAAGCTGGTGCTTTCTCCCTGCCGGCCCCGTGCCCTTCCATCCTGTCCCTCCCCGCCGTGTGGGGCACAGCAATGGGTTTCACCAGGTTATCTGCTGAGTGAATGAATGTTAGGAGCCGAAGTGCAACCCACACTTAATAAACGAAGCCCAGGTCCGAGCACTTTGGTCCCCAGGCCTTGAGTGCGGACTTAAGAGATGTGCGCTCAGTTCAGATCAATCTCTGCCTTCCAAGAACTTACAGTCTAGCCCGGCCTGCATGGCTCAAGGGTTGAACGTAGACCTGTGAACCCGGAGGTCAGGGTTCGATTCCCAGTCAGGGCGCAGGCCTGGGTTGCAGGCTCGATCCCAGATATGGGGCCCGCAGGGGGCAGCCAATCAATAATGCTCTCTCATCATTGATGTTTCTAGCTCTCTCTCCTTCTCCCTTCCTCTCTGAAATCAATATATATATATATATATATATATATATATATATATATATATATATAAAATATATTATATAATTTATTGATATTTTACAGACAGGAAAGGAGAGGGATAGTTAGAAACATCAATAAGAGAGAATCATCGATCAGCTGCCTCTTGCACACCCCCTACTGGGGATGTGCCCGCAACCAACGTACATGCCCTTGACCGGAATCGAACCCGGGACCTTTCAGTCCGCAGGCCAACGCTCTATCCACTGAGCCACACCGGTTTCAGCTAGATTTTAGATTTTAAACAGTTGGAGCTACCACAGGCCACAGTCACGGAAAGGAAACCCCAAGAGAGGGTGGTGGTGGTAGGTGGTGAGGCTGGAGGAGGAAGCCGTGGCCAGATCATGGAGGCCCCTGTATGTCACCACCCTCAGGAACGAGTGTTTTTCTCGATGGCAGGAAGGAGCCACAGAAATGTCCTCTCAGGGGAACAGCCGGCTCAGACTCACTCTGCAGAAAGGACACTGTCTGCTATGTCCCGGGTCTATTAGGGGAAAACAGGGGAGTGGCCCGGAGACAGGGATGAGAGACGCATTAGGAAGCTAATGCAGTAAAAACACTAAGGTACTGGCATCAGGGGCAGCCATGAGTGGAGAAATAGAAAATGTTTTTAAAATATATAATCAAAAACAGCGGTTATGCCGAAACCCGTTTGGCTCAGTGGATAGACTAGAGCGTCGGCCTGCGGATTGAAACATCCCGGGTTCGATTCCGGTCAAGGGCATGTGCCTTGATTGCGGGCACATCCCCAGTGTGGGGTGTGCAGGAGGCAGCTGGTCAATGACTCTCTCTCATCGATGTTTCTAGCTCTCTGTCCCTTTCCCTTCTTCTCTGTAAAAAAAAAATATATATATATATATATATATATATATATATATATATATATTTTTTTTTTTTTTTTTTTTTTTTTTTAAATAGTGGTTAGCTTGAAGAGACGGAAGCCAGGGTGACAAGTTCCTAGACCAATTTCCAACTTCAACGGCTGAGATGACGGGACAGAAGGCACATGGGTGGCGAGAAAGTGGCGAGTTCAGTCCAAGGCATGTTGAGCTGCGGTGCCTGGGGGATGCCTCCATGTTCTGTACATGAGGGGGACGTGGGGGTCTAAAGCTCAGGAGAGGTCTGGGCTGGATGTGCCACTTGGATGCCAGCAGCAGGTGGGTGAGGACAGTGCGTGGAGTGGGAAGAGCAAAGCGGGGGAGACAGAAACTGGGGACAGGACATTTTTGTGTCACTGGGGGTAGGAATAAGGGGGCAAACAGGAAACGCTTGTACACCAGGACAGCTCTGGCATACTTTCTCTCCCCCCCCCCCCAAGGACCTTTCTGTGACCTTTTCGATTTCTACTCAAAGAAATGAAGACACATTTTTTTTTTTTTTAAATGAGGACACATTTTTATCCATCTGGTTTATTTGTCAGTAGCTGTGATTTGGGATCTAACGGACACCTCTTCCTCAGTTAAATTGCCACCAAAGGAGGCCAGGCTGGAGGTTTAAGTCCAGAATCTGGGCTGGGAGAGGATCAAGCGTGGAGAGGCCGGGCTGGCGGGTGGGGGGGGGGGAGGGTCAGGGCCTGGACCCCTCAGGAGTAGCTGCCGGGCCCTCCCAAGGGGATGACGAAGACAGAGATGTCATCCCCGGAACCCAGCTTGTTGTTGGGGAGACGCCAGCCACGGTCCCGGGGGGTGCCCCGGGCCCCTAGGACCAGGGCTTGGGCCAGCGCTGTGTACCTGGCAGGAGCACGCGTGCACAGTCATGTATGTACCAGCGTGGCCGAGGGGAGGCAGACACACAGGCCCTCCTTGCTCCCCTCGGCCCCTTCCTCCCCCATCGTCACCCCTCGATGCCCGTCCAACCCCTACCTGCTGGGGTCGTTGGGCTCGTAGGTGGACAGCACCCTGTCCACCGTGGCCGCGGCCTCGGCGTCGCTGGTGACGTCCCACAGGCCGTCCGTCCCCAGCACCAGCACGTCGTCCGGGCAGTGCTCGTACTGCGTCAGGTCGTACACGCGCACCTGGAGGGGAAGGGGGTGGAGAGGGAGCTTCCGAGGAAGGGGAGCCGGGCCAGGGCCAGCCCGGGCTCCGGAGGGAGAGGCGGGGGGGAGGAGGGCTCACCTCCGGGAAGCAGGACAGGAAGGGCTTGATGGGCAGGCTGGAACTGCAGACCCGGAGGTTGTGGTCTCCCAGGCCCCGGGTCACCCCGATGGTGGCCATCACTCGAGCCTGAACAGGAGGAGGGAGGGGCGCTGCCCACACGGGCTCCCTCCCGGGCTCTGGAACCAGGCCCCTCCCTCCCCTGTCCTCCGGGGACAACTCCTGGCGGGTCCTCTACAGGAGAGGGGTTTACCTTTTTGCCCTCCCCACAGACCAGAGGAAACCTGAGGTCCTCCAGCTCGATGTGTTTGTAGGCCCTGGGGAGGGGGGAGCAGAGGAGGCATCACCCAGGCATCAAAGCCCCTCTCCCGGGGGAGCCGCGCTCCTCACGAAAACCCCTCAGAAGGGCCACCTCCTCCCCGCCAGCTCCCAGCCGGGCCCAGCCTCCGGCTTCCACCTTGCTGTCAGCCCAGCCAGGGCCCGGTTGCGTTGCCATGGGAACCGGCCCAGCTCTGAGGGAAGTATTACCAGCCGGTCATGTTCTGGTCCCGGTACAGCATCCTCTGGCCCAGCTCCTTGGGCTGAACTCGGCGGGGGAACTCCAGGTGGGTGAACTCGGACCCCAGCAGCTCTGGCTTCAGGAAGCCCTGGGGCCCGGAGTGGCCAGGCATGAGCAGAGGGCCGGGGGTAGGTATTAGGCTGACGGCACGGCCTGGTGATTATGGCAGCCCCACACAATGTCTAATGTGAACAGGCAGTAACTCGTTTTCTGCAGCCCTTCAGGCAGGAACCACAGGGACAAGTCGAAGGGGATTGTCCAGAGTCACTCAACTAGCAAAGCCCTGGAACCAGGACTCAACCCCAGCTCCCAGGCCAGGGCTCGGAGCTCTGCGTCACACTGCCTTTCAGGGCCTCTGCCTCCACTTCCTTCCTCAGCCGGGCCCCCTCGGGAGCACGGAGCACCCACACTCCCTCCTGCTCCGTCCTCCACCGGCCCCCGCTGGGCTCCGCACTCCTCGGTGAGGGGCTGTCCCTGTGGTGGTGGTGGGGAGCCCTCAGGGTGCGAGGTACAAACAGGCACAAGAAGACTCAACCGAGAATGGGAGGCAGGAGCTCAGGTCATGCTCACCAGCAGCTGAAGGCGCTGGCGCTCCGTTTCCGGGGTGAATTCCCGGGACATTGGAATGATCTCACCATTCCGGACAATGATGGCCCTGCCCAGAGAAGGGAAAGGTGTGGGGCTTGGCTCTCTTCCGCCCCCTGGTGGAGAATTCCAGGAAGACCAGGCCTTCCCCATAAGGGACCCTTAGGATCTACCGTGTTTCCCCGAAAATAAGACATCCTTCGAAAATAAGTCCTACTTACAGGTTTCCTTCTGAGTGAAATATAAGGCATCCCCCCGAAAATAAGTCCCCCCCCCCCAGGCTCTGTCTCAGAATGCTATTGCTAAACATGAGAGATTTGGAGTCACAAGAAATTCACCAGGAAATTCAGGGATTGGATTGTTCTGATGATGTTCCATAAGATGACATGATTGTCATTGAAAAAACGAGTACATTCTTGATACTGTAGGATTC